CCTGACAGCATGGGGCAACAATCCTTCGCTTTTTTGAGATGCCGGGTTCGCCATGTGGTTTCTTCTGAGACCGGTGCCTGGATCGCGCCGTGGTGCAAGAGAGGAGCTCGGCACGGCGAAGACCGCCCGCTACATCGCACATTCTCTTTCTGGCGCGGACAAAGACGTGGGGTTCAAGAAAATTCCTTTATCTTATCTGCCGTCACGCACCACAAATGCATCCCCAAGGCAGGCCAAAGCGCAAGGCAAGGAAGGGCGCAAGAAATAGAGGGGGGCTTCGGGGGCTTTGGGGGAGGGGGGGGGGGTCCAGGTCTGAGGGGGGTCCAGGTCTACAGTGCTCCCGCTCCAGGTTGCCTGCCCTCTTGCCTGTGCTGGCCCTTTCACAACTACCTGCATCTCTGACTGCTCTGCATTTCCCATCCCCCTCGCCTCTCGACATCCTCCCCAGCTTCGCCTATCACCCCGGTTCGTACGGTACCAGTACCGGCCTGTCCCATTCTCAGCATGGAATTTCATGTCTCTTTTTCATTCAGCTAAACGTCGTCAAAACAACGACGCCCTTGCACCTCTCTTTGCATCCCATCTGCGACGGGCTTTCACGTGTCGCATCGCCACGAAACACCTCCAGCATGAATTCCCAACGATCCCATCCGAGCTACCTTTTCCAGAACCCCGATGCCCTCCGATCGCCCTATACGCTCGATACCATTAGAGATAGAATCTACGAACCGACTTTCCTCATCTCCCTCGCCGCCCTCTTCGTCACCACCGTCCTCCTCACCACCTCCCTTCGAGGTGGCGCCCTGTGGGACGCCCTTGTCCACGTCCTGCCCTACCGGCTGCTCTACGTCCTCGAGAACTGGCTGCGCCCCGCCGCTGGCCCCGCGCCCGATGCTGCAGGGCCCTGCGCGCACGCATGCCGTGAAGAGCGACATGATGCAGAAGATTCTCGGCATAGACAGAGCTGGCGGCGGCGGCGGCATCATGAACACCGTCTCGCAAGCCGGCCAGCGTGGCCTCACCTCCATGTCGGGCGCCATGATGGCCTTCAAGGGCGACTCGGAGAGCCCGCCGGGCCTCGGCAACCTCGACAACTCGTGCTACCAGAACAGCATCCTCCAGGGGCTCGCCTCGCTGAAGCCCCTGCCGCGGTACCTCTCCGAGCAGCTTCGCGACGCCGACCTCGACCGCAGGCGCTATGACGCCACCGCCACGCTGCGTGGCTTGATTGCAGACCTCAACAGCGTCGAGAACAATGGGCGAACGCTGTGGACGCCCAGTTCCCTGAAGAACATGAGCACCTGGCAGCAGCAGGATGCGCAGGAATACTTCTCCAAGCTGCTGGACGAGATTGACAAGGAGATTGCCAAGGCCGGGATGCGTAAAAACAGCTTGCCGTCGCTCGACGCCAGCGCAACGGCCACAGCGGCACCCACCACAGCCAGCGCCCCGGACGATACCAATTTGAGCCAGCACAGCGACGACAGCGGCTACCAGAGCGTTTCCACCCTGTCGAGGGCAAGCTCGGCTGCCAAGCTCGCCAGGAACCCCCTCGAAGGCCTCGTCGCGCAGAGGGTCGCCTGCGTGCAGTGCGGCCACTCGGACGGCCTCGCCATGATCCCCTTCAACTGTCTGACCCTCAGCCTGGGCCTCAACTCGGCCGAGCACGACCTCTACGAACTCCTCGACGCGTACGCCAACATCGAATCCATCGAAGGTGTCGAGTGCGGCAAGTGCACCCTTCTCAAGGTGCGCAAGCTCCTCAACATCCTCATCGAGCGTAACCCCGGAACGGGCAGCGAGATGCCCCGATCCCGCCTCGCCGCCGTTGAGGAGGCGTTTGAGAATGACGACTTCGAAGACAAGACCATCACGGAGAAGTGCAAAGTCTCGGCATCCCACAAGGTCACCTCGACCAAGACGAAGCAGACCGTCATCGCGCGCCCGCCGCAGAGCCTGGCGATACACATGAACCGCTCCGCCTTTGACGAGAACACGGGTCACATGTGGAAGAACGGCGCCGCCGTCCGGTTTCCACCCACGCTGGACCTAGGACCGTGGTGCCTCGGCAGCGCGGGGACCTACGCGCGCGTCACGCCGGACGAAGAGGCCGGCACCAGTGGGAGCAGTGGCCGTGGTGGGCTGCCCAAAGTCAAGCCTGCGCGCCCGGACGAGGAGGAGTGGCTGCTCAACCCGCGCAGCTCCATGGTCGCCGGTGACAAGGGCCAGTCCAAGATCACGGGTCCCCTGTACGAGCTGCAGGCCGTGGTCACGCATTTTGGCAGGCACGAGAACGGCCACTACATTTGCTACCGCAAGTTTCCGCGCTCCTCCCCGCCGACGCAAGTCGCGCCGACAAAGGATATGGACGCCGACGACCTGCAGGCGACGGCCGGTGGCGGCGGCATGGAGCTCAAACCCCTAGCCGTCGAGCAGGCCGGGAACCAGGAGGCGAAGGCGGAAGCAGAAGACGCGGAGGCCGCTGTGCAGGACGAAGAGGTCGAGATGGACTGGTGGCGCCTCAGCGACGAGACGGTCCGCAAGGTAGACGAGGAGCACGTTCCCTCTCTCAGGGCGGCGTTTTTCATTGCTTCTTTCTACGACTGCGTCGATGCGCGCAGC